GGCCCTGCTCTGTGCGTGACAGGGGGTGGCGCCGCAACCTCCCCATTGACCCTGCCTTGAGTGTGACAGGGGGCGGTGCCCCAACCCCCCAATCGGCCCTACCCTGAGCGTGACTGGGGGTGGCATCGCAACCTCCCAATCCGCCCTGCTCTGTGCATGACAGGGGGCGGTGCCCCAACTCCCCAATCGGCCCTGCTCTGAGCCCAACCAGGGGCTGCACCTAGGGATTGGGTGTGCCCTCTGCCACCCGGGAGCAGGCCTAAGCCAGCAGGGCGTTATCTCCCGAGGGGTCCCAGACTGTGAGAGGGCACAGGCCGGGCTGAGGGACTCCCCCTTCCCCCCGAGTGCACAAATTTTTGTGCACCAGGCCTCTAGTTATAAATAAGATAAGAAATAGTATTGGAGAAGATGTGGAGAAAAGGAGCCCTCCCACACTACTAGTGGGAATGTACTAGTAAATTGGTGCAGTCACTATAGAAAACAGACTTGCCTTTTTAAAAGTGTACTATAAAAGTGTGGAAGACAGACCAGAAAGGTGTAAGGACAGTTAAACAAAAGGTTGTCTCTATAACTCTGAACAAGAGAGGAATTGGATCAATACAGAAACAATGTGAATGGTAGAGAGCAGAGAGCTGTGTAGGAGGTGACCTTTAGTTGTATGGGGTGAAAAGGAGGGAGGAATCTAGACTTGACTCCCAGACTTCTGAATTGAGGGGCTGGGCAGATAGTGAGGTTAGTCACTGAGCAGGAGAGCCCAAAAGAAAAGCAAGTGTGAAGGGAAGGGTAATAGGGTCATGTTTAGACATACTGATTTCAAGATGAGTGTGGGCCACTCACCTGGAGTTGTCCAGTAAGAAAACATACTAAGGATCCGGAGCTCAGCAGCACAATCTAGCTAAGGATAAAAGTTTGGTCATTGAAGCCATGAGCTGAGTAAAATTGTCCCAGAGAGAGTCTGTAGAGTGCCTAAGAGAAGATGGCCAATGACAGAATCCTTGAATTACAGCATTAGCAAGAAGATCTCAGAGAGAAGAAAGTAAGCAAGCAGGAGACCCAAATCAAGAGAAGAAAATTCAAGAATTAGGGAATGGTCAATAGAGTCAAGTGGTGTCCTCAGGGAATTTATACTCCAGCTTGGAAATCAGTGCATCTACAGGTGAAAAAATGAGGTGGAAGAGTCGCCCAGGATTATACTTGATAAAGCACACCAGAAGGATATGGACAGTTCTCCCAGAGTTGAGGGAAAGGAAAGAATGGAATTGTCCTGAAGCTTGATAAAGGTGATAGGACTTCACTGGGCCTGAAATGTGGATAGAATTGAAGCCAAGAGAGGTCATTTCAACTTAGGCAACAAGATTTGTTCAAATCCATCCTCATGCCCCAAAACAACCAAAGATAGACTTTCTATTGATAGTAGTCAACAGTGTCATCTTTGAATAGTGGAGACAGCATTTGGTTCCCTCTTTTAGTTATAACATTTGGACTATTGGTTAAATCACCTGTATAATAAAAGGCTAATGTGCAAGTCCACTGAACAGTGGAATGACTGGTCACTATGACACGCACTGACCCCAGGAGGCAGATACTCAATGCAGGAACTGCCCCCTGGTCATCAGTGCGCTCCCACAGGAGGAGCACAGCTCAGCAAGAAGCCAGGCTCACAGCTAGCGAGCACAGCTGCGGTGGCAGCAGCTCTAAGGATGTCCAACTGCCAGCTTAGGCTCACGGGGAATGGGCCTAAGCTGTCCATCAGACATCCCTCGAGGGCTCAAGGACTGCAAGAGGTTGCAGGCCGGGCTTAGGGATCCCCAAATGCATGAATTTTGTGCACCAGGCCTCTAGTCCTATCTAATAAAGAGGGAATATGCTAATTGACCCTCATGCCATCGCAAAGATGGTGGTGCTCACAGCCAATAAGGAAGGAATATGCTAATTGACTGTCCCGCCCTCAAAGATGGCAGCACCCACAGCCAATAAGGAAGGAATATGCTAATTGACTACCACGCTCTCAAGGATGGTGGCACCCACAGCCACAAGAAGGTGGTGGCGCCCAGCCTCAACCCCACTGGGGCGGCAGGCACGTAGCAAGCCCGGGCCCACCCCCAGGCAGGCCCAGCCACTCCGCGTGCCTGCCTCCAAAGACCCCCAGTCCCCTCAGCCCGCCAGCCACCCAGGGCTGGCCCAAGGTGCAGGCAAGCCTCGGATGTTGGCTGCCCAGCTGCCCAGGGCCAGCCTGAGGCGCAGGCAAGCTTTGGATGCCAGCCACCCAGGGCTGGCCCAAGGTGCAGGCAAGCCTCAGATGGCAGCTGCTCAGCTGACGCCTGGGGTGCAGGCAAGCCTCAGATGTCAGCTGCCCTGCTGCCCAGGGCCAGCCCGAGGTGCAAGCAAGCCTCAGATGGCGGCTTCCCAGCAGCCCAGGGCTGCCCGAGGCTCAGGTAACCAGGTGCTGGCCGAGGCTTGTGCTGCCGGCAGTGGCAGCAGCAGAGGATGGGGCGATGCCTTTTCCTGATCGCCGGGTCGCCTCCCACCCCTGAGGGCTCCTGGACTGTGAGAGGGGGCAGGCTGGGTTGAGGGACACCCCCCTCCAGTGCATGAATTTTCATGCACCAGGCCTCTAGTATCATATAAAATAGGATGTAGTGTCACCTGACATCATGTGCAAAATTAACTTTATGGAAGTCATGACAAGAAAGCAGTATGGTTTGTGCATAGCAAGATCATTTCAGAAACACAGATATATCTAAACTTTGAGAATATCATGAGGGTCAATTCCACTGGGAAAAGACAAGTCCTGGTTATAAACCCTCTTCATTTTGTGAAAGCTACTTATAAAATCCCTTTACTTTAGTGCAGCTATTCCTAGCTGTGAAGTTGCAGATTCTTAGCCCCATTTTCCCCCTAGCCTCTGGTGACTAAACTGTGGGTATGTGGAAGGAAGCAGGAAAGGGGGGAGATCTTCTTGTGCCCTCCCCTACTCCTCACCTTTCAGTCCCTTCTCCATCTTCCTATTCCATCCCAATGCCCTCTTTCTTCTTGAGAACACTTGACTTGCAATGCCACACAGGCAATAACTCTTCATTTACCAAGAGGAATGCCTAGAGGGCAGAAACAGTCAGGCATTACCTGGGGAAATAACCTGTCAAAACCTCTCTTTGCTTATCTGCTTATAATTCTGGCATAGTAGATTGCTTCCCAGAACCAACACCTTATCTGCAAAGAGGAAGGTACAGAATAAGGAAAAGTCATTGGAATACCAGGTTCTAGTGCTGGCTGTGTCCCTGGTGACATGATCTTATACAAGCCACTTAACCTCACTAGTCTCAGCCTTTTCAGGAGAATTTTTGGACAAATGAGATATTTGTGAAGGAGTTTTATGATTGCAAAATGCTATTGAAATGTTAGACTGTGATGATAGGCTGTCATCATAGTTATGAGTATGATGTGAAAGAAAGGGGGACCAAGATTTCTCCTCCTAAATCTGTTCTGAAGACCTAGACCTTCCATTCCAACCCTTGCATTCAACCAGATTTTTCCAGAGCCTCTTCTCTCCTGGTCCCTGTTCATCTGTGCCGATTTATCTTGGCTCATTGTAGTGCTTGATGCAACTGAGTAATACTAAGTTACTCCCATTCTCCTTCCTTCAATGCTAGTGGAAGCCCTTGAAATCCACCCCGAAAGAAGAAATAAAAATGGTAATTCATGAAGTGCTTCCTCTGGGCAAGGCACTTTCTTCTCCTGAGATCATTTTCTACAAACCACAGTCTGTTCCCACAGAGGAGAAATTAGGAAGCCTTTGCAGCTGAGACAAGAGGAAATTACATTTCTATTAAAAGCTGTCTGTGGCTAGATGCATCCATCTCAGGTACAAAGTTAAATGATGTAATAAACTTATTCAAAGACATAAAGCTATTACACTAAATGCCATTAAATAGCTTCCACTTAATGTTAACAAAATGCAGCCATAAATTTCCTTCGGTTGTCATTTTGCAAGATGCTTGTTCTCAGTGGCTTATGCATCTGCCAGTTCTTCACTGTTGAGTTCTGTTTCCAAGTCCTGGCAAGTGGGATGTCAGGGATGCCTAAGCCTTTGAAACATGATGACTTCCAACTTTCTCGGTATCATCTCTAGTGAATCTGGGAGTTCACTAATTCACTGTTTTCTACCTCCTGGCTAAGTGCAGTGTTGAGGTTCCATATTTCATATACTAGAGATCAAAGGCAAGGAGACCCAACCAACAAAGCCACAGCTCAGAATTCAAGGTTGGGAGGTGACACATCTACTCCGAACTTTGTGGTTGATTCAGTTTCTTATGTGGAGCCATACATTTAGGGATGAAGGTTAAAATGGAAGGGGAGGATTGAAAGGAATACAGAGCATTATATCTGGAAAAGTTCTGTGCCCCCACTTTTCCTGTGGTTGTTCACCTAAACCCCAAGTCAAGGGGAAAGGCGCATAAGATCTGGACATGTCTCATTAAACTTGCCTAATTTCCTGAACTTATCATGATTCCCATTTCCCATACAAGCCAAGTCCTAAATCCAGGAGGACCCAGTCCCTTCATGCTTCCATAAACAGAATGCCAGGAGAGTGGGAATGAGTAGTGTGTTGGTGATGAGGATGTGAGAGAAGCTTTCAGCATTTGCCCAGGTCCTACAGCCAACAGGTATTTTTCCTGTCAGTGATTCAGTGAGACCCAATCAGAAGAAATGTTGACTTGGTCTTTGTATCGTGTGGCCTGCCATGCTCTTACAGGCTGCGCACCCCTGGCAGGGGTCTGTCACTGTGGTCCAGCCGAGCCAGTTTCTGATGCTCTTGCTGTCCTTCCTCAGGAAACAGCATCCTCCATTCAGCGGCCGATAGCGTGTCCAGTGCCGTGCAGAAAGCGAGCCAGGCCTTGAACGAGCGTGGGGAGCGGTTAGGCCGAGCAGAGGAGAAGACCGAGGACTTGAAGAACAGCGCCCAGCAGTTTGCAGAAACTGCACACAAGGTGGGTGCTGCAGATGGCAGAGGTCTCAGCTCTGGGCTGTCAGAGAGCTTCGGTGCTGAGAAACTTGTTTTCCCTATGTCCCCCATGAGGGAAGATACAAAATGAAACCTTTCCCCCCTGTACAATTTCCATCTGCTACTTGGTAAGTACCAGAGTCCTGAAAGATTCTTCCTGTCCCTGTTTGTTTGGGTATCTCCTTTCTGATTTAGAGATCTCCTTTCTGACATCTTTATTCCTATCACTGACCTTGGACCTTAGAGAAGTGTGGACCATCTTTAATTCCTGCCCAGAAGTTCAGGGCTCGAGTCTCAGGGAACAGTGTGAGGAGGGAGGAAGAGCTCAGGTCCCAGAACACCCCTCCTCCCTTGGCCTGGGCTGGAAAAGGACTTAGGGCTGCTTGTGCTTACTTTTCCTTGCTGTCTCTTTCCGGTCATGAGCTCAGCATCCTGTGTTCTTATCTTTTCACCATATGAAATCAAGCTGTCGTCCCAGGGCACGGTGCATCTCAGGGCTGGCCTCCCTCTGCAAGGGGCTGTGGACCTCTAAGGCCGACCTGACCAGCCCAGAGCTGCCTGCAAGGTTCCCTCCTGCCTCTGAACCCAAAGAAAAGCATTTCCCAGTGACCGTGACCGTGGGTACACACACCCACACTCACACACTCACTAAGAATGTGCCTTTTGGAGGGGAAGGGGGAGTTTTTATTGGCAGCTAGCTATCTAAGGCAGTCACAAACCAAAGGAAAGAGTCCCTGTTGGTCAGACGATAGAGAGGATTGATTTATTGCTCTTCTTGTGTTTAAAATCAGAGCAGTTCTTCTCTGGCTAGTGATTTGAATCTAGGTTGCCAGAAACAACTTCTGCTAACTGTTAGCATCTCAGACTCATGACCTGGCCTTACACATATGCTTTTCAGGTGACCTTGTTGGGGAATGTGGGGGTTGATTTGCTTCAACAGAAAACCCCAGTTTTGCTGAGGAAACAAGAATAGACAACCTGAAAAATAACAAGAAAAATCTCTCCAGCTGAGCTCAGGCCTGGGGCTCAGGCTTGGACCAGACTGCAGATCCAATTCCAAATGGATGCTTCCTCCTGCCCTTCCTGCAGCCCCTTTGCACAGACCTATTTCATTGTGTCATCAACTTTTTATCATGACAGGGTCTTACTGAACAGCTGCCTTGGGGGCCCCTTTGGGGTTCCCTGGAGGAGACGTGGGCAGATCTGTTTGAAAATGCAGGCCAGCGCCTCGGCTTGCTGTGGCTGTCACAGAGGGAGCGAGCTCAGATTTATAGTTCGCTTGTCCCTTGATCCCTTCTCTAGCCTTCATAATACAGAAATAATGATGAGCTGGAAATGCTAGGATTCCAGCCCCAGCTTCATTTATAGCAACAGCAACTTCAGTGATTTAAATGAAAGGTGGACAGAGGAAGTCTGGAGAAATGGTTAAAGTGTCAATTTGGAGAAGAGAAGGCTAAAGGGAATAATTTGTAATTGTCTTCAAGTCTGGGAAGGGTGATAGTACATGCGATTCTCTTTTATGTATGACCACACAGAATAGAGCAAGCGATAGTACACTGATAAAATTCTGCTAAAACAAGAACTTTGGTTAATGATTAAACCATGAACCAGGTTATCAAGGATGTCTGTGAAATTGCACTTCCTAAGGTGGAGGAGACAATACCTGGAGGTCATCGAAGTGGGCGACCCCCTCAGAAGAATTTATACAAACACTGGACTGGATAACATAAGCAGATGGCCGGAATTCTTGGCCCTGGTCACCCTGTTTCCCTGATATTTTGGCAAAATTTGTTAAGTAATTGGGAAGGCAGTATGTATGGTGTGGTGATTAACATCTTGTGTTTGATTTATCATCTCAGTAATTTACTCATCAGTGACCTTGAGCAAGTGCTTAATTTCTCTAAATTCCAGTTCCTTCATCAGTAAAACATGGCTAATTAATACTAATATCTATCTTATAGGTTACTGAGAGAATTGAATGAATTCCAAACTATAAATCTATTAACACAATACATGGCACATATAAATCTAAATTAATATCCTATATAATAAAAGGCTAATATACAAATTGTCCCCTCGACTGAGAGTTTGACCAGAAGTTTGACCAGGGGGCGGGGCTAGCTGGCCAACCACCCAAGGCCCCTCTGATCGGGCCGCGCAGACCCCACCTATGCACGATTCGTGCACCAGGCCTCTATTTTGTTGTAATTATGTCCATAACAATGGTTTCTGCTGACCCTGCCCTATGTGGTTGCATAATGAACACAGTATGGTGAGGAAGTGGGGGTGTAGGAATGGGCTTGAGGATCCTAACACAGGGATGGGAGGGGTTAGAGGGGAAGATGTATCCTCCAGTGCGGAGAGGGAGGGCCTCCTGCTACATGCTGATGCTTTCTAAACACAGAGCAGCCCTTGAAGCAGAATCCATCGGAAAAGAAACCGACTAGCCCACCAAAGGCAAAAGGGCCTCTAGCTTTAACCACTGGGAGGATCAGTGCCCGCCAGTGACATCCCCTCCTGTGGATGGTCTGAGGAGGAGAGGGATGGGCTGCTAGTGTCTGTCGAGGGAGTGTGAGGGAGACACTGTTGGGGCCAAACTGGGATGTGTGCTTATGAATCACCGTCATTGGCAGTATTCCTAACGAGGAGACTGGCCTCTTTATATAGGGTGTGGCTATTTTCCTGGAGACTAGGGCTTTCTGATTTGAACCCACTGGTATAGGCTGACCATGAAGATGTCCTTTCGCTGGTCAGAACCCTCCAGGCTGCCTGGTGAGGAGAGAGTTCGGAGGTGGAAGCCAAGCATTCCAGCCCCCAGACACGTGGCTGTGCTGACTCAGGAAGAGCATCTGTATTTACAAGTCAAGACTCAGTGCCACGTGAGAGCCCCGAGCAGAGAAAGGCAATTCCAGGGGACAGTTCTTCATGTTTCCTGGTTGAACAGGGGCAGCACCTCTGGCTGGAGAGTGTGACCTGCCCTTTAGATTGCAGGAGAAAAGGATCTCCGGCTTTCTCGCTTTCCCCAGTACTCCTGCGATGACCCAGGTATGCCAGCTAGTGGATCACCTTTGCATGACCCTGCTATCAAGATGTGTGGGTGTTTGTGTTCTGTAGAGCAAATGGAAAATGCCCCCGCAGCCCCTCTCCCCCAGCTCGGTCAGCTGGGCTTGGGGAAGTGGGGTTCCTTCCTGAGCTGTGGGCCAGGTACACTCTCAGCCCTTAGGAAAGTGCAGCTCAGCCACGGAACAGACCTGCTCACTGTCCCTGCCCCAGTGTGTGCAGCACTCTGAGGCCTGCCGGGCAGTGAGTCAGCAGGCGAGAGCGGGACCCACACCCAGGCATCCTCGGATGACATTTCTCGCGGAAAGGAAGGGTGATCCGCCCTGTTTTGCACAAGCCTAATTTGTGGGGGAGGGAGTGGTCAGTGGCATCTGCCTCACTGGCTGCTTGTGTCCTTACTCTGTGTGCTTCCTTTGGGTCTCTGGGCCAGAAGGGACCTCAAAAGTCCAGGCCTCTTAAAGATTCCCCCAGTATGAATAATGATTTATTATTATTATTATTATTATTATTATATTATTATTATTATTTGGGGGTAGTAGTTTGCACGGCTTTGAAAGAGAAAGCTTTCAATAATGATTTATTATTATTATTATTATTATTATTTGGGGGTAGTAGTTTGCACGGCTTTGAAAGAGAAAGCTTTCCATGACATAATAAGAAAATAAAATATATCCAAAGGATATTTTAAACTCTCCTTCTATAGGAACTCTGACTTCTAAATGGATCCATCGCATTTGAATTGGAGATGATATTTATAGGCATGAGGTACAAAGCAGTTGTGATTTTAGAGCTCAAGGTCATATCAGGGAAGCAACAGTACCCTGCCTTCCATATTCTAGCTCCCAAGCAATTAAAAAAAAATCTAGGTAACATGGAAAGGATGCCGCTTTCTGACTTTCTGCAAAAACACTTCAAATAGCAGAATGTCCAATCCAGTTGTATTTCTGCAAAGCTGAGCTGGCTACACCCGCCTGACTGGGACTCCCTTTGTGCAGGTCCAGACGCACTGAAGTGGTAACCAGGGCCTGGGAGCAGCAGCCCCATCACTGCTAAAGATTACTGACTGGGTGAATTGGCACAAGCCCTCTAGTTGAAGGTCAACAGCTCGGTGAATAAGAGGACAGCAGCATTGATCAAATATTTATGATTGTTATTCATTATGCACAACACTTAACAGCTCTATATTGATATGAATGGTCCACCCACATTGCTAAATAATGCATAAACACTGGAAGACAGAGCAAGACATGGGGCCATACAGCAGAGGGGCTCACAGTGTGGCCGGGGAATAGGATGCACTGGAGGGAGAGCCCTGGCTCTGCCACTTCCATCCACGTTTCCATAAACTCTTTGAGGTCAGGAGTTAAAAGCCACCTCCATCCTTCGTGGCAAAAACCCACAGCACTTGGCACACAGCCTGACTTCACCACACTGTCTGACAGTTGACTGACTATTGCCGTCAGCACTGCAGAAGGCCTGTGGAGGTCTTGCAGAGATTAGCAATATGAGGCCTCGGTTCACAGTCCCCTCCCTAAGTCACATGCTGACTTGGCCCGGGTGCAGCAGCTGCAAGAGAAATGTTGGTGCTGCTCTTGCAGGTGACCTACCTGAGGTGGTAGCCCCAAGTTATCACTTCTTTGTTGGAGACATCAAGAAGGGGAAGGAGAGACTAGGATTGATTGCCCTGCATTACACTGGGGAAATGTATCTTCGACATCTTCCAGTGTGATGCAGAGCCCCTCTGGGTGGAATCAGAAGGGTTTCCCTTGCTATGTCTTCAAGGGCTGAGCCCCTGGTCATGATGCAGATGACAGAACTTTCTATAAAGTTATTTCCTACATAGAATCGCCTGCTCTTTGCTCAAAGAGCAAATTCTCAATCTGCCACCTACCCCCAGTCGCTACTGTCCCAAATTCAGGGATTAATCCCTAATATCAGACTCTGGACATATGAAGAATTACAATTTAATCTTAACTCTGCCTTCTGGGTTCCTTAAAAAGGATCTGTCTGAGAAAAGCAATGTCAGATTTAATTTTATGTTCATACCTGCCTGCACTTCCTTAAATATATCATTAAGGGCTCCAGCTGGGTCAGGGAAGATGTTGAATGATATGGTGTATTTGGTGTTCCCATTTATAAAGATCTAACATTTCAATAAACCACATTCCTCCATCTGGATTTGGTCTATTGTTCAGCCCTAACACGGTTTAATCAAGTGCTTTGGACTTGGTTGAATGTCCTGGTTGGATATTGAGTGGATATTTTGAACAATAATAGATACAGAGGCAGAGCTGCCTCAAACAGATTGTCAAACTGCAGCGGGAAGGCCGGGGAGGGTTGGGGGGCAGGAGGGAAGGGGGTAAGAGATCAACCGAAGGACTTGTATGCATGCATATAAGCATAACCAATGGACATAAGACACTGGGGGGTAGGGGAGGCCAGGGGATTGTCAAGGGCGGGGAAAAAAAGGACACATATGTAATACCCTTTGTAATACTTTAAGCAATAAAAAAATTAAAAAAAAATGTAATACTTTAAGCAATAAAAAAATCAAAAAAAAAAAAGATTGAAAATTGCTTCTCTGTCATTGTTGATTGCAATGCTTTAGGAGATGTCAGTAAATACTTACCTTTGAAGAGTCTTGGGTTTCCTGGATTACTAGTCACCCAGGAGCCCAAAGGCCTTTCTTCGTCTATCCCACCTGTTCCTCGGGTGGGTCTCTCATTCTACCTGGCATTGGCTTTTCCATTGTTTCTTCAGTGGGATGAGGGAACATCACATAGCGCTCTCCTTCACCTGGCCACGTACACTAACTGGGTGACGAGGAGTAACAAATGCAATGCTCCATGGACGATTTGGGGAAACGATGCACATTTTACTATATAGATGCCAATGTGCATGGTACTGGTGATAACCCAGCAAGCAGAATCGTGGTGCTGCTTCTCATCCTGGGCGTGGGGACAGAACACATTGAACTCCTTCTGCCTAATAACTCCCCTTTCTCTCTCTCCTTAGCTTGCCATGAAGCACAAATGTTGAGGAACTGCCTATCCTGGTGAGCCTCTGAAGAGAAATGGAAGAGTTTGTTTGCTCAGCAGTTTTTTCAAGAATTCCGGACCTCCACTTGCTTCTTTTTTTCCAATAATATGTGGACATTTAGGGGTTTTGTTTTTCTTTTGAAGATGTTAGTATGAAAAAAGATGTTATGTTTATATATTTCCCTCATGATCTTGCTAAAAATGCTGCAATAGCAAGAGTTTCATTTTGGTTTTGCTTTTTTCCACTGTGTGTGTGTGTGTGTGTGTGTGTGTTTCCTTTTTTAAACTTTTTTTTATGGTAGTTTGAATGTGAAATTTGGACAAACTGATATATTGAGCTGGGTCTAAACTGACATCATGTATTTTTTTCCCTGATATTAAACAGGAAGACATTTTAAAATGGTGACATCAGATGTTATTGTTCCTGGATGGAAATAAAAATCAAGCCATGATTGGTTTCACTCAGTCTCCTAGCTACTCTTAATTCGAAGGTTAAGGTGCTATATCCTGAGAAATAAATCTGTATTATGAAAAACAATTGGATTTATCAGGGGAAACAGCAGTCTTAGATTTTGCTTTTTATGTAATAATCTTTTGCATGAGCCATCACCAGCATTCAAAAAAAACCAAATCAGAATCACAGATAGAAATCTCCTTTCTGAGGCACAGTTTAAATACTTGGTTCTAGGCTGATTATTTGAAACTATCAAATGAAGGATAAAAATTTGAGGTTAAAGACCGAAGAAAAAACCTATTTAAAAACCTCTGTGCATTATTTATGGCTGGGTTTTTTTGTTTGTTGGTTGGTTTTTTGTCATTGTCCCAAACTCCAGTAGCTGGTATTGAAAAGAGCTTGGATGTTTATCAAGAATTGATTTGCCCAGATAAAGGTCTATGTAACTGATAATGTGAAAAGATGTTACATTTAAAATGTTTTCTTTTTACAAAGTCATGTCTATCTTAAAGATACCCTCACAATGTCCTTGGGAAATGGCCTTCAGTTTCCTGGTATCTGATTTTTGGAAGTGTTGATGTTGTTATTGCTACTTATTTAATGTAATTTTCAGTATGGGTTTCTAGACAAATTGCATTTCACGGCAATTGCAGCTTGCCAGGTCTGACATAAAACAGCACCATCGTGAAGCCTGAAAGAAGTTGGTTCACACGTATGATTTTGAATTACTTGAGGTAATACTGGGTTCAGAGCCTGGGCGTCTGTTTCTTAGAGGGTTAAAATGCCAAACATGAAAGCCTTGCTTTGTCTTCCTGAAACAGGAGGCAAGCTGCACATTCAGACACATTGCCAGCCTCCCACTGCAACACAATGATTTTTAAGCTGCCTGAATCTTCAGGACCCTTTCTGTCCCTTCCTATCATGGAGCCAATTGAGTCCACATGTATTGTAGCCTCTTACATAGCAGTATAAGATGACTTTTGGATTATTTATGCTGATTTCAATAGCTTAAGTTCTCCTGATAGAGAACTTCCCAGGGAGATAGAACATTGGGCTATTGGAGAAAAGCATTATCTTATACAGTATGTGTCAAAAGGGAGATGGGGTTTGCTGTAGACAGATTTCTGAATCCTCTTAGGGAGATGATCCAATTCTAAAAAACTCTCTGTAAAATTTATATTGTAAACTATAGAAGTTTACTATAATATTTTGTACTTTTCTTTTGGTGCCAAAAATGTTTAACGAAATAAGAAGTTTTCTATCCGAGGAGTACCATTAGAAGCATTTATAATTTTTAAGAAAAGCCCAAAATATCACTCCAAAAAGATTTTGCTTGCAGACCTCGTTTCAGACACACACGCATAATCATTTTCCCAAATTGGATTCTAGCTTTAGAGGTAGATAGTTGGTATAAATAATTGAAAGGGTAAATCTAAAACACCCTGACAATAAGCCAAACTCAAAAATACAATTTGTTGCCAACTAACAACAGTGTTTGCGGAGCTGCTTCTGAAGTAGCAGAGGATGAGGTCACAAGCATATTGTGAAATTTGAGATTCTTCCTTCCTGCTCAAATTGTGATAGCTACTCTTCATAAATATAAGTATTCCACATCTTTCCCTTTCCTCACTCTCTGTTTATCCTTTAGGCTTGTGTCTTATTGGAAATAGCCTGGATTAGAAGAAGAGACCTATCTGAATTAGCTTTCTCTATTGATTTGCTTCTTGGCTGTGGCCATGACCTTGACTTCCCAGTGTCAAAGTCATAAGTAGGGCTCCATCCCTCAGAGAGGCCAGAAGAACAATCCTTGTCCCTCCTCAACCTCTTGAACTCTTGCACAGGAGCCCTGTGATGACACATATTCTTTTGTAGAAGGTGCTGTAATACAAAGTATTAATAAAATCTAACCTAGAGAAAATTGCTAAAACGACTCACATTATTTGGGACCAATTAATTTGGCTGACCTTGCTAGAAGACATTTAATTTCTGTTTGTTTCATTTCTGCACTTCGCTATGAGTTTTCAGGATATTGTGTTTCTGTGAAGGACTTCTTAAATTGTATTGACAACTCATAAAGAAACGAAATTTCCCAGTGTTATTAGTTCCTGGAATGTAGCCGTAGTATTCTTCACTAGTATTATTAGGTATCTGTGTACAGGAAGTATACAGTTATTCAGGTTAAGTTTCATATTAAAAATGTATTTGTAAAATGTAATAGGATCAGTAGTTAGCATTTTTTAAGCTCTGAAAAAAAATAAAGAGTATGTGTTAGACTTCAAATTACAGTGAAATTCGTCTTAATAATACTTTTGTGGCTAGCAAAGGTTGTGCATTTATGTAAAAACATTTACAGAATGCCCTAAATATGGGGTATTAAAGATAGATTTCTCCTTCAGTTTTAGAATTGTGGCACTCCTGAAGTCTGTTGTGCAGTTCATTCTTCAGATGTTCTCTAAGATGTCAAATATAATTTTTGTTTCTTTTAGAGACAAGTAACACCTGCTCATGATTCACTATGACAACAAACCCTAATTTTGTCATTAAATATTTTAACTCTGTGATGAAAGTTTGTTTCTCTCAGTTATTTGTAAAATCTGTATAAACACAAATAGGTAAGCATCATTGTACTGTTGATGCTAATGGGAAGATCTTGTGTGCCTACAGGAGACCAAAGAGCTAGGATTAGCATGAGGATAAAGTTGCATAGCATTACGATAATGAGATTCCATCCAGCAAGAGGTAAATATTTTTTATTCTCATGGGCAAAGCAATTAAGCCAATTAATAGTTATCTTTCTGCTGATGTTAATGTTATGCTCAACTCAAGTACTTATTATAGCATGCACCCTCATTCAACAGACTAGTTTCATGCCTTGTTAAATTGGAAAGGAGACTTGGTCAAGTCTTCTTTCCAATTGATCAAATTATGTCAATTTATTTTTATGGAAAAGTAAATGCAACTTATTTCATCACCCCATTTGTTTTCAAGGGAACTGACTTAGGTGACTACTGTAGTATAATAGCCATCTCTGGATTGGCATGGAGACTTGATAAAGCAGTCAGAACTTTGAAATATTTCCTGGAAGGACTGCAAGTAGAAGGGAAAACTGTAGTCTCCACTTTTCAGAAAAATAAAGAATGGATAGATGGTTTAGCTAGATGAGGACCCCACCTTAAGTTAATTATGTATTTAAAGGAACCAGTTCTTGTGAATTAATTATGAACCAACTGCCTTGGAAAGGTGACCTTTTTTCTTAATATAAGTTTTATTTGTTAGTAATTACATCACAACCAACTCTCAAATTTTATAGGAGGAGCAACATGACAAGTGTTTTTAGAAAAATCAATGGTGCCTTTTCCCCTTATAGTCAATGAGAAAAACTACTGGCATCATAATAATCATCCTCTGCCTAAACAAGTGGATTATAGTTAAGGGTGGGATAGAAGTAGAAGGGGGAGAAAAATACTAGAAATAAATTTGAAACAGAATTGCAAATGTTTGAATGTTATTGTTTTGAACCCCAATATTGAGATTGTTATCAAACTGGTGTTTGCAGTGAAGGAAGGGAGTACTTTATTATGGAACTAGAGGCCTGGTGCACAAATTTGTGTACCAGGGGGGTCCCTCTGCCTGGGCTGTGGTATCGGGCCAGAACTGGCTCTCCAACATCCCCCAAGGGATCCAAGATTGTGAGAGGGTGCAGGCCAAGCCGAGGGACCCCATCGGTGCATGATCAGGGCTGGGAAGGGACGCGGGAGGTTGGCCAGCTGGGGAGGGTCTACAGGAGGGCTCCAGGGTGTGTCCAGCCTTTCTCGCTCAGTCCCCATTGGCTGGACCCCAGCAGCAAACTAACCTACCAGTTGGAACATCTGCCCCCTGGTGGTCAGTGCACGTCATAGCGATGGTTGAGCGGCCTTAGCATATCATTAGCATATTATGCTTTGATTGGTTGAACAGATGACCGGACACTTAGCATATTATTAGGCTTTTATATAGAATTGGCCACTCCAGAGTATGGGTGAATTCCTGCACTGAAAGACTAGACTCTCTGATGGTGTGTAGGTTTCAAATTATATAGGGTAAAATCACAAGACACCATGAGTTAGCGGTTCCAGGTCACGTTAGGAGCTGACATAGGATAATAAATAATTTCTTCAAGTCTTGAGGATAGCTCTGAGGTCAGCTCCAGAGTCCCTCTGTCTGATTTCATGGAAAAAATAGTCAGGGGTCCACCTTAGGGCTCAGGAGCTGAAATATAACCTAAGTCAAATGTTATCATTAGCTTGCCAAATGTCCTTGTGACCGTAAGTCAGGTCTGGGCTATTGTCTTCTGCCTTAGGGGTAAAGGATTATCAAGGGGAAAGCCTAGGTCTATGAGATGAAATAGGGACAAAGAGGAAGAAATGATTTCTAAAGTTACAGTCACAAATCAAAATCATGAGGACCCTCAGTTTCAATATTTCCTGTTGATTCTGTTCTGTGTGCCTCTTCACTTGCCATGGGTGAGCCTGGATAGGAGCTTATTAACATGTGCACACAGCTGGCATCAAGAAAAGGGCTGTGCTACTGGACGCCCCTGAAGTCACTTTGTGACATCTTCTTGCCAGTATGGACATGGTTAGGCAGCTGACAGTATTTCCAGGGGCCCATAAAACTGGAAAATGCCACAGGTGGGCTATTACCAGAGCATGAGAAATGTAAAGACTTGAAACATGAGAAAGGTAAAGACTTGAGACATGAGAAATTCCCGGCTCCTGGAACTCTTAGAATTTCCTAAGAGTTGAGAATGGGAAAAAAGTGTCTTCTGTTATGTTAATAAGTTTACTTTTGGGATGTACCTACAGATTGAGTTCTGGTTGCCCATGGAACCAACCACATGATTAGAGGGTTGGAACTTCCAGCCCCAGAACCTCACATCTCTGGGGAAGGGAGAGGGGCTGAAAGGTTCAATCAATTGTCAATGGCCAATGATTAATCAATCATGACCATGTAACAAAGCCCCCATAAAAACTGAAGAAGATGAGGTTTGGAGAACTTCTGAGTTGGTGAACATGTGTAGATGCAAGGAGAGTGGTGTGCCTGGAGAGGGCCTGGAAGCACCTGGCCTTTTCCCCATTCCTTACCCTATGCATCTCTTCCATCTGGCTGTTCCTGCATTATGTCTTTTCACAATAGACCAATGATTAAGTAACATATTTCTCTGAGTTCTGTGAACCTTTCTAGCAAAGTCATCATATCCAAACATGGGGTTGTAAGAACCTCTGATTTATAACCAGTCAGTCAGAAGTAAAGATGACAACCTGGATTTGCGACTGGCATTCTGAGTTGGAGGGGTTTGTTGGAACCTCCAGTCTTGGCCACTTGGTCAGAAACACAGGTAACCTGGGCTTCTGTCTGGCATCTGAAATGTATATTGGGGGGTGGGGCAATCTTGTAGGACTGAACCTTCAACCTGTGGAATGTGAGGCTCTATCTCCAGTAGATACTGTCAGAATTGGGTTGAATGCTCTGACACCCTGCTGGTGTCTGAGAATTATCTGTTGCTGTGGGGAAGCCCCCACCCCCACATGGTAGAATTGGGTCCAGGAACCCAATTTACCCCACCCACAAGGCAAGTCTTACTTTATTTCTCTAAATGTGAATGGACTAACAGTCCTCTTTTAACAAGATGGTGCAAAAGATGGATTTTCTTTTGGTTTATGTTTTGATAATCCAGAAATTATGTATGAAAAGCTTTGGTATATATGTCAGTGAGAGCCAGCCTGACACAAAATTGATCATCATCTATACCTCCCCCAACCCAACCTTTTGAGCGGTCACCTTTCTCCCTTCTGTGCCCTTCTTGCTTTCTGGCTTTTTTTAAATCCTGTTTTAGCTACTCTTCCAAGGTATTACCTACACATAGCAGCTTAGGGAGTTCTTCCATCCTTGCTGTGGCTTGTCAGTCACTTTGGGGGAGCTTTTAGAAATGCATACATTTTACTCCCAAATTTGCCTTCTTGGTGTCCCTGGTCATCTTGGTAAAAATGATCCCTAAAGTCCCTGAATGGTGGGGCACATGGCTTCCCTAGATGATTACCAAATTTAAATAAAATTAAAGCTGTCAAGGAAATTAAACATAATGTGCATTTAAGCTCTAGGATTCCTATTAACCTTCTGCCTTGACCTCCATTATACTTTCTCCTTTGAGCCTGATCTGGTGCCTCAGCATTTCCTGCATCATAGTTTCTCTTCCCACCCCGCCCTGAAGTTTTCTACCACGTTTTCTTATTTCTGCTGGTGGGTAATGAGCCCGGGCATAGCAGGTCTGCAGGGGCTGGGTCTGCCTCTGGTGGCCCACCCACTGGGCACTGCTGGGCATGGGTTGTTGGCAAAGCTGCCTGGCCTCCCTCAGTGCTCCAGGAACCAGTGGATGGACATAGGAGACTCCAAGTCCTCTGCTGAGGCATGTTGTCACTGCTCTCACATTGCATCTACTGGACATTTTAAATGCTATTGATCTTCATGGTAAAGTGAAGATTTTTTTAAATAGAATATTTATAGTTTTTCTTGTCCTCATGTGCTTAATCAGCTCAAGTCAAGGATGCCTGGCCCCTCGCGCATCCTGGGCACCTTTCTCCCTTCTGTGCCCTTCTTACTTTCTGGCTTTTCTTAAATCCTGTTTTAACTACTCTTCCAAGGTGTTACCTACACATAGCAGCTTAGGGAGTTCTTCCATCCTTGCTGTGGCTTGTCAGTCACTTTGGGGAGCTTTTAGAAATGCATACATTTTACTCCCAAATTTTCCATCTTGGTAAAAATGACCCCTACAGTCCCTGGATGGTGGGGCACTTGGCTTCCCTAAATGATTACCAATGATCAAATGCTATTGATCCTCATGGTAAAGTGAAGATTTTTTTAATAGAATATATATAGTTT